ATGTCTTGGATCTATCATTTAATTCCTTAACAGGAAACATACCACAAACGGTACGTAATTTGACACAACTCACAGGATTGAGCCTCCAGAACAACACCCTTTCTGGACCTATACCTGATCTTAAGCTACCTAAGCTCAAGCGTCTAAATTTAAGTTATAACCATCTTAATGGCTCTATTCCACCATCCCTTCAACATTTCCCCAATTCATCCTTTGTGGGAAATTCACTTTTATGTGGAGGACCTCTTAAAGCTTGCTCCATCGTCCTTCCTCCGCCACCTCCTACTTCCAATCAACCACCACCAGCTCCCCAGAAAAAAAGCTCCAAGAAAAAGCTGAAGTTGGGACACATCATTGCTATTGCAGCTGGAGGGTCTGTTCTGCTGTTGCTGTTAGGCCTAATTATAGTTCTCTGCTGTTTAAAGAAGAAAGACAACGGAGGAACAAGTGTACTGAAAGGGAAGTCTTCTACCGGCGGAAGGAGTGAGAAGCCCAAAGAGGAGTTTGGGAGTGGGGTGCAAGAACCCGAGAAGAACAAATTAGTTTTCTTTGAAGGTTGTTCTTACAATTTTGATCTTGACGATTTGTTGAGGGCTTCAGCTGAAGTGTTAGGAAAGGGAAGTTATGGTACTGCGTATAAGGCTGTCTTAGAGGAGGCAACAACAGTGGTAGTTAAAAGGTTGAAGGAAGTCGTTGTTGGGAAGAGGGATTTTGAACAGCAAATGGAGATTGTGGGAAGGGTTGGACAGCACGCAAATGTTGTTCCACTCCGTGCTTATTATTACTCAAAGGACGAGAAGCTGCTAGTCTATGATTATATCTCAAATGGGAGCTTATCTGCGCGTTTGCATGGTATGCATGTCACTGCTCTCTATTTCTTTCTTTTATATCCCTTTCATAAAAATAAACACACTTTGCCTTACTATCTGTGAGTGAGAACTTAATGTACATATCTAAGAGAAAATGCAGGTAGTTACCATAAAGAGTGTATAATTTCTGCCGATACCCTTAGAAAAACATAATTTTTAAATTAAGATAGAGTTGTCCTGAAATTTAACATTTTGAAGTCTATTAGCTCTTTGTCAACGTAGTTTAGTAGCATATTTGATGATGATGATGTTACGTCGGCATTTCAGAGTTATAATTACATGCTTTGCAACTCGGATGCATTTAATCTGCTTGCATCCAATGAGAGTGTTACTGACACTGAAAGTCACATTATTTACAAAGGATGCATATAACTTTTCCTAACTACTTCTATTTCCCTTTTGTTTAATCGTAAAGCATGCTAATCTGTTATGCATAATAAAAGATCAGGTTACCGTCCTACTTTCTGTCTCCATAACCAATACACAAGATTACAAACTCCTGAATTCAGCAACTTCTTTTCAGTTAACTGAAGCATGCAAAGCAGCTTGCTATCTTCAATTTTCTTTTCTGTATTGGCAATCACTTTTATTTTGAAAGTCTGTGCATGGATCTATTTGGGACAGCCTATTTAGATCACCTTTATAGAGAATTCAGCTGTCTATTGAAGCACCATCTGGTGCACCACGCTGAATTTTTATTGTATCTGATGGCAGGAAACCGGGGAATTGAAAGACCTTCATTAGACTGGGACTCGAGGATAAAGATTTCCCTTGGCACTGCAAGGGGAATTGCTCATATTCATTCTGTGGGTGGTCCGAAATTCACTCATGGAAATATCAAGTCCACAAATGTCCTTCTCAGCCAAGACCTCGATGGGTGCATCTCTGATGTTGGCCTGACTCCTCTCATGAATGTTCCTGCCACTGCTCGGAGTGCAGGCTATCGCGCTCCAGAAGTGATTGAAACCCGCAAGCACTCTCATAAATCGGATGTGTACAGCTTTGGCGTCGTCCTCCTTGAGATGCTGACTGGAAAAGCTCCACTCCAGTCGCCGGGGCGTGATGATATGGTTGATCTTCCTCGGTGGGTCCAGTCCGTGGTCAGGGAGGAGTGGACTGCAGAGGTATTTGACGTTGAACTGATGAGGTACCAAAACATTGAAGAAGAAATGGTTCAAATGTTGCAAATTGCAATGGCGTGCGTGGCAAAGGTGCCAGATATGCGACCGACCATGGAAGAAGTTGTTAGAATGATTGAAGAAATCCGGCAATCCGACTCAGAGAACCGGCAATCTTCCGAAAGAGAATAAATCAAAGGACTCAACTGTGCAGACTCCTTGACCACTCAAACTTGTTGCTGTTTTCATTTATCTGGTTCTGAGAAATTCATGATTGAACCTTACATTTGCTGTACATGCCTCCTAAGTTTTCCCAGGAATTATTCAATTACATGCATGGCTTTGTAGAGTGGCAATTTATCAGTCCAACTGTTAAATATTTTTAAGCAGTTTAGGTGGGGTTTTTTTTTTTTAATTTCTTTTCTCGATTTGTTGAAATATGAATTTTAACATAATGAATTAATCGACGATCTTCGATAATTCAATAGTTTTTGTCTGATTTTTGTTTTGGGAATGTGATTTCCGCGCACCAATGTTTATTTCTAATCTTTAGAATGAATAAATAAAAAAAAATCGAGTGACATAAATAAACATGAACGGGTAAAAATCATTTCTCGTATTTTATTTCCTATTCCCATAATCACATTTTAATCACTATATATAATTGACGTTGAAAGTACACATCGTCACATTAAGAGAGAATGTGGTTAGAAATGTTGGTCACTTGGTCTAAAGCTACTCTCACGGAGACGCACTTTTTAGGCCCTTGGAAATAGGTGGCTATATATATGTATTTAGGGGTCGCATTTCCGTTGTAGGTCAATTTCTCTCCGAGCCTGTCGATCCCAGTTTCCTCTGCATGCTAAATCCGATTTTCCGTATATAGATTGTGGTCCTCCTCAGTTTCAGCTAAGAAAACTACAATGTTCCTCTAAACATATGAAACATCCTTCAAAAGTTCGTCACCTTTATCGTCGATTGCTTTCCTCCGTGATCCGGCTAGGAGGTGTTAGCTAGAGTTCCAACAATGGCAGACGGTCCATCCTTGCCTCCACCTCCTGGCCGCAACCAATCAAAGGCCAGCAGTGCGCGGCATGTTGCCATCTCTGAAACTGCCTCAGCTCCCAGCAAGGTCCGCAATCCGGCCTATCTGGTTCCTGACCTTGACCATGAGCGCCCCAAGCGACGTGTAGGCTACGCTTGCTGCGCATGGTGCTGCTTGGTCTTCTTCGCCATTGTGATTCTCGCTCTCATTATTGCTTTCATTGCCATGGCCATCTTCCATTCGTATCTGCCAGAAATCTACATCCGAAGATTCAACGCCACCAGCCTCAACTTTACTAAAGACCACAACAAACTTGTCTTGAGGGGAAAGGTACATTTTCTTGTGGAGTTCTTTAACAAGAATGATAAAACTGACCTCAAGTATGGTGCCTTCAAGATCAAGGTAGCGTCTGCGCATGTCCCGCTAGGTATCACCGGGTTTCCTGAGTTTGCTCAGGGCCAGAAGAACACGAAGTCGTTGAATGCAACCATTAAGGTCAATAAATTCGGGATTACCAAAGACGATGTAGATCAACTCAAAACCGACATAAAAAATAGGGAGATGACACTGAATTTGGCCATGACCGGAAGCGTTAGCTTCCCCATTGCTGGAATTTTCTTTAACGGCATTCCCATCATTTCAAACTGCGATGCCAAGCAAAGGGAAGTTGATTTCGGAAACAAGGCTAAATGTGATTACAAGATTATCCCCATATAATAAAATCCGCGATGATCTCCATCCGCGTTCTCTATGTTTCGGATAATGCTTTAGATCCCGACTTTTTTCTTGACTCTCTGACATGATCGCGGGATTACCTTAAGACGAGTTGAAAGAGATTTTCAATGGGGTGCAGGACAAATAGCTGCCGGTAGTGTTAGATGAAGGAGAAATGGTTTGAGCCATGATATCATATGTCGATTGGGTATGTAAGATTTCATTATTTCTTGTGTATCTGGTGTGATGTTCAATTTTTTTTCGTTCTTTTCATGGTGCGTGGATCTTTCGTTAGTGTTGAGAAACTTGTTTACAATCAATAAACTTTTGCTCATTCTTTTTGTTTTGATTTCTTTCCTCGCCTTATGAGTTATGGCCTAAATACGCAGACAGATTACATGTTAACTAATCGATGGTTGGCATTGCCGCTACGTAGTGAAATCTTTTTCTTATGTTGAAAGAAGTCCCTAGTTTGAATATCTTTCTTGGCACAACGGAAATGTTGCTCCTTTGTGACCAAAAGGTTACGAGTTCAAGTTGTGAAAATAATCTCTTTGCGAAGCAAAGATAAGACTACGTACGATAGGTGTTCCTTTCACAACGCATGCAAAATGGGAAGTCTTTTGGACGGCCTTTTACTCTTGTTTCTAAGGATAAAACTTGGATGTACTCAAATTGAATTTGTCCTAACCCAAAACAAGTTTAATTAATCTTCATTAAGTAAGTAATGTCAGAAAATGTGATAAAAAAAATATAAAAAATGCACGACATGAGAGATGTGTAAGAAGGATCAACAACTCAACAACAAAAAATTTAAATTTTAAAATAACCATTACAAAAATTAGTGCGCGCAACACCGTCGCATCTAAGTCTCGAGTGTCAAAGTACTTGAATTCCATTCTAAGACATTCGACGGATCTCGATCCCGAATCCCATCCGTGCTAACAGGTATCGATGGATTCCGGGTTCGGGCATCGAATTAGGCACCCCGTTGATAAAAATGGAGAGGTAAGAAGATTCCAATCAACCCTGTAGAGTCAAGTTGACTCACTCAATCATGATGCCTTTGATGTGTCCACACAAAGAAAGGTAAGGATCCACACAGAAAGGGACCAGATTGCAAATTAGCAGAGGTGCGGTGGCGAAACGGTTAAAGTACATGTGTGAGGGGTGTATTTTGTAATTAGCTATAAGTGGGGGGCATGGACGTGGATCCTAAGTCATGTTGGAATATAATGATAGAAAATTCTAGAAACTAGTCTTTTTTCTTTCTTATCCTTTTCTTTCTCTCTATAATATATATATATATATATATGTATGTATAAAATACATAATATTTTTCCCCAATTTTTTACCTTCTCAGCTCGTTCAATCTCGGATTTTGTCAAATCCCAATCGCGCAATCTCCTGGTATTTTTACCTTTTCATCCAATTCTCAATTTTTCTTGAATTGCTGTTTCTGCCTTTTATTTTGTACGATTTTAAGGTGTCCACTTTGATCTGTGTTTGTGGGAAATTAGGGTTTGGATTTTGGGTGTTGATTTGTGATTGTTTGGCTGGCGATCTGGTATTGATTAGGGCTTTTTTTCTCTTCTGGGTTTTCATGTTGTGTTTGTTTGATTGCAGTGTGTTTGTAGGTGTTGTCATGGCATCTAAACGTATCTTGAAGGAGCTCAAGGATTTGCAGAAGGACCCGCCTACCTCATGCAGTGCTGGTATTTTGCTCCTTCTCCTTCAACAAATACCTTATCTTTTTGTTAAATTTGGATGCCATATTTAAAATTGTTTTAGAATTATAGATGGTAAGTTCTAATTGCAGGGGATTAGCGGTATTTTTTTCAATTGAATTGAACTCTTTGCAGCTCAGATTTTTAGCAAAAAAATTGGCAGGAAAAAAGGGGTAGTTTGATCTAGGTCCAAAAATTTGAGCTGTTAGGATTTAGTTCAGTTTCCTATTTTTCTATTGTAATTAAATTTCTTGATTTATGCATGTTTCTGAATTTTATCAATTTGAATATTAAACACGAATATCTAACCACTTTCTTAAAAATAGTTATATGCATGCCATGATATATGATACCAACACCATTAGGTTGAATAAAATACGGTTAACCTGTAATGGAGGTAGAATATACGAAAATAAATAAAACTTAATACACCTATCATCCATGAAAACAACATTAATAACACACAATTAAATTATTATGGAAGTCGAATAAAAAATTGAGATACGAATTGAGAGTAGGATTGAGAGTGGGAAGAAGGAGAAACAACGTTTTATTCTTATTTTCAATCCTAAAATTAAGTAAAAGATCCTATAAATAAGGAATAACATTGATCACAATTTAATAAAAAATAAATAAAAATAAGCTGATGTGGGCAATCAGTGAGTGGACCTAACCCAACAAAGTGGACTAAATCCTATAATGACTTACAAAAGTGAACTTATTTACTGAAAAAAAAAAAAACTGAGATTTAACCCTTTGCTTTATCAGTTATTAAAGATGTAGGAAATTTGTGGATGGTCGAATTGGGAATGAAACCATCACATCCTCTAATGGTTTAGTTGATGTAAAAAAGTGGTGGTAGGATATTTGCATTGTAGCAAGTTTTGCATCTGTCTCGTATGCTGGCTCATGCATCTTATCTTTCTGAGGTGTATGCATATATTTTGATCACTTTACTGAACTTGGCATACATTCTTCTTTTGGGGTTCTCTTTCGTGGATTATAGGTCCTGTGGCTGAGGACATGTTCCATTGGCAGGCAACAATTATGGGACCTACTGATAGCCCATACACGGGTGGTGTTTTTCTAGTTTCAATCCATTTCCCTCCGGATTATCCATTCAAGCCTCCGAAGGTAAAAAAAAATAAAAATTGAAAAATCGAATCCTTATGTTTCCATACATCTGTAGTTGCCATATTCCTTCATACGATGTCATAAATGATTTATCCTCCATACAATGTCATAAATGAAATGTGAGCTTTTGTGTGTCGTATAATGGGTGTAATGGATAACTGCAACAGTGTTTTATTGTTTATTCTTACATGCAGGTGATTATGTTAAAATATTCTCTCTTCAATTGCTGTGAATGTAACTTAATGTGTATTATCTCTGGAATTGTATTTTATCTTCCAAACGGCTATAAGTTGCAGATGCATTGGACATGAGTCATATTTAAGTAGATTGCATTCTTGTTGTACCAGGTCATATTGTAATTACATCCAACTTTCTTAGGAAGAAAATAGTTTCTTCTCTGTATGTGTGTGTGAGATAGTGCATGTTTAAGTAGTGTTGGTGGTCACTGGTAACACATTTAGCTTTTATGGGTGTTAGTGAGAGTGTTATATGATACCAAGTGGAATCTGACTTGGATATTTACCAGCTGATTTACTCTTCAGTCGTTAGGTTGTTTATTCACCAACAGTTTGCCACTGTTGTTTTAATCATTAAGCAATTAATTTGTTCATTTTATTGAAAATACAAACAAAAACTGTAACAAGAATAATAATGAACATCCATAAAAAGATTTGGTTTCTGTATGTCACTTGTGGCTGTTTGTATTGAATCTATGGACAAAGTACTTCTCTGTAATCGATATCTATCTTATAATGCTCGTATTCAGAGTTATTCCAGATATTCGGGGAGATGCGTTTCTGATTTCAGTAAAGTTGCATGGTGTTTCCGGTGTTCCCACAGTTTTCCATAGATGTAGTTTATCTTAGAATGCTTTAAAAACTATTACAACAAAGAGCTGATTATTGTGAGATGATATTATTGATAGCAGGTGCCCCTTTTAATGTTTTGGCTTCTAAATTGTCTTTGGAAGAATTTTAGCAGCTAACTCAAGTTGTGTGTGTTTTCTAATGCTTTTCTCATCTTGTTATTGTTTCATCGTTAATTGAGTACATCTCTTGGTAGTCTAGAATGTGGATTCTAACTCAAGTTACATTTCAGGTTGCATTTAGGACCAAGGTCTTTCACCCAAACATTAATAGCAATGGAAGCATTTGTCTTGATATTCTCAAAGAACAATGGAGCCCGGCACTAACCATTTCCAAGGTTTGTGTTTTCTATCCCTCTTATCAGAATTCTTCATTTGTGTGGGACTACAAGAGTTCTGGCTTCTGTCCCCTTATCAAATTAAAAGACGTCCTGTGGCTCCATCCTAATAATCCTACTTCTATTCCAAGTCATGTTGTATCATGTGACTTGCAACTGGTGATGTGAGATGTATGCATAATGTGCGTTTCCATGCTATCCTACTTTTCACTCCATGTTCTGTTGTATTACTCAAGATGGGACGAGTGATAAGGCACAAGCATGTGGGGGTGGCCAAAAAAGGATGGAATGCCATCATTTTTTATGGGATGGAGTTAAAATATGGAGGAAGTAACATGGTATGCTCAACATAGGATGAGATGTCACCATTTTGTGTGATGGGAGTTACGATGGCTTCCTTTTAATCTGATAACAGCACTAATTCCAGTTCAATAACTTCTTTATTTGATATATAGGTTATTAATGTCTACTAAATGAACTTGTGTTTCAGGTGCTGCTGTCCATATGCTCTCTGTTGACAGACCCCAACCCAGACGACCCACTTGTCCCTGAAATTGCACACATGTACAAGACGGACAGGGCAAAGTATGAAGCCACTGCTCGCAGTTGGGCGCAGAAGTACGCGATGGGGTAAGAAGGATGTTTCCGGCATTTGTGAAAAGGCTTGCAAATGCATGAAATCCATCTTGGTTTAAGTAAAAACGTTGGAAATATTAAAATTTATCTATTTTGTGCGACTTAAAGTTGATCAAGGAAACATCGCTCTCATTTTGTGAATATTCATTTGAAGGCATTGGAGATGGAAGGAAAAAGCAACTGTAATGTATCGTTTCTAAGATATTTAGTCAATGGTTGGTTTGTTGAAGAAATAATGCTTGTTAAGAGCATAAGCGCCTGGATTGCCTGGTTAAACATATCCAATTGCATATTATGTTTGATTTGAAGGTTCCAAATTGATTTTTGTATTCGGATTGATGAACCTGTCGTGAAAGCGATTACTGGAAGGCCAAAATCACTTCTCGAAAGAACGCGTCGGGAAAGCATTTGTTGAGAGGCCATCACTTCTGGGGAGAAGCACACGAGATTTGCTTTGCAGTATAATTTATGGAAAAGCCTCTCATGAGCTTTTTTCTCCAGAAGTGATTATGTGATTTGGCCCTACTATAATAACTCCCAAATGGACCAGAATTGTTTGGCAGCATTAATAAATCGGCTTTCTGTTTGTTTGCCTGGGAAGTGTTTGGTGATATGTCGTTCTTGTTTGTTTGAATAGTTCCATTTGGCAGGGTTACACGATGTGGGTTAGGCCAATTGGTTAAGGTAATGCCTCTACCTATTTATACCGAGCTCTTCTAATTTTCTGTCATTTGAAGTAGTGTGTTACAAGATGTCGGTTATGCTAGTTGGCTAGAGCAATGTCTCTGTCTCTTGTATCGAGTTTGATTTCTTTCCTATGGTTTAAAGCAATAAAGAATATCGCATTGTTAAAAAAAAAAATAAAAAAAAACAGGTCTTGAGCTATTTTATTATGAAAGGGACGTTGTATATATCTGTGATACAGATTACAGAAATTTCATTTTTCTTTATGGTTTTGGTGGGAAAAAACTGTCCAACTTATGTTGTCACGATCATTGGTAGCTATAAAGCGCAGAACATGTGAATTGTATGCGAATGAGTCACAGCGATTGACGGTTCTGGTTGTGGATGTGGTAATGCAAAGTCTGGCAGCGGATGATGTTCGTTTTGAATTTTCATGTCTAGAGACCACGTGCCCTCATGGGTTCTCCTCCTTCTAAGTTCCAATTTCATTTTTCAAGGTTAACTTTTAATTAGTCCATCCGATACGAAGATCATCTCTAATTTTTGAATTAAAATTTAAGATTCTAATTCAAGAAATTTAGGTTTTAATTTAGAAATAATTTTTCTGCTCTAATCCTTTTAGGTTAAAATTTTAACTCGTCTATGCCACTTTGGGCCTTCTTGTCCTTCGTTGACCGTCTTAAGGAGAAATCTTGTTAAAAAGTTTGCCCACATAACAATTAAACTAAAGTGCGTTTTCGGATAATTTGAAAGGGCAAGTAAGGGTAATAGCCTTCACTGGATGTTATGTGAATTTGCCATTTTCGTATAAAGTATGCAAGTCATAGATTCTTAAAAAGCCTTGGTAGCATGCAGTACATACTCCTAGATTCTTAATAGTAATAATACAAGGAGTAGGTGCATGATTTAAAAGAAACGTCATTAGAAATGATTATAACCCTAATACTTTTTTTTTTTTTTTGGAGGCACTTTAGCTAAAATGGTATTTGAGATTGGTATAACTCCTTACTTTGATCCCTGAGATTTGAATCGATAGCAGTTATACATGAGTTTGTCCACCTCAACTATTTTAGTATTTCCATGAAAAATCTCTGTTAAACAATGATCAAAATGACAAGAATACTCTGTATTTAATAAACAGTTAACCAAAATAATTTGACAAAGGATAAGGACAGTGAAACCCCTCATTAAGATTAAGTGTGTACTTTGAGGGGCAAAATTAAAATATCATTAGCTTATCACTTGGTTGACAAGCAACTAAGGTGGTCATTACAACCTCTATCTGCAGTCCTTTTGTCCCGACCCTAATCATGCATGACTATTCCCTTTGCTCACGTGCTGATTCATGGAATGGGGTCTATCTTTGCCTTTGCTTCATCCCCAAGCATAAACCAACCCTATCAACTTTTCAAACTTTTTGGGTGGTTTTATTTAATTTAAAACCTATCTCTATGTGTGTAATGCCACAAGGTGTGATAGGTTGAAGAAAAAAGTAGCACTACATAATTCGTAATAGGTTTTGACAAACTTCCTTCCTCAACCTATGTTATTTTGACTCAATCCAACCCTCGCTTAAAATAATCCAAGGGTGTCGTCTTTTTGTGAACACGGCTCGAACTCCTGTATATAACGAGTTTTAATTTTACGTGAAAATCATAATATAACACATATATAAATAAAATTGAGATAATTTTAAGTATCGACATCACGTAATCAGACTTGTGTAACCATTTAATAACAAGCTATCACGTGTTTCGAACTATATCAACTCCTCGGCTAGACCAATTCTAATTATTACGAGTGTAAAGCAAAATAGGGCCAAACAGAACCAATTGCCCTGAAGATTTTCCTTCCATAGACAATGATAATGCAGTGAACACTGAATGAGTTTTTTTTTCAAGTAAAGGTATTAATAAATGGACCGAATTAGGTTTGCAGGGGTCGATGAAAATTAAAACTGGGTCCAACCGAGGAGCTGATGTTTGTCCGTGATGATCATGATATGGGCTGGCATGCACCTATCACCCATGCGTTGAAGAAAAAAAAACACCGTTTGAATCTTGTATTAGCGCACAATTCAACAGTCTCACAGATGCTGCACAGTAAAAAGTTAAACAGTTTCCCAATTACTAAGTGGAAAAAGAGTCTAAAGAGAAGCACGCTTTTGGAGACACACTACCAACAAATCAAGCACAGTAATAGGCAGAGAAAAAGAACTGCGTACTATTTTGACCGCGTGGTCGGTTCCAGGCAGGTAAAACTTAAATTAGTACTGGCTATTAAGATTTTTAGCTGTCTCAGTTGTATGTCTTCTTGTATTCATAGTTTTCATTGATATACATTAGACCTATTCTCTCGTTTATTAGAGCTTATTTTGTTATCATAAACTCAATCAACCATGCTAATGAGAGGAGCGGAAATGTCAAGATGAGTATAGGAAATGAATTATGATGCGCCATTTGAACAAGTTAAAATACATAACAAGATGTAGGTCTGGAACGTTATTATTTTGGGTTGAGAGTCATGTTTTTATGCAAGTCTTTCATAATTGATGAACGAAAAATCATCGTTGCGTTAGTGATTATAGGCCATTTATGCATATAGATTTTATATGACAACACATTACTTGCTTGTAACTATCTATTGTAGCTCGTGTAAACGATTGACGCTAGTATTTGTATACGATTTATATATATTGCGTATATTTTTGTGAGAAAAGTTATACATCTCTCACATGGAGATCATGAAAACTGATTGTATGATATATAATAAACGAATATGATTACGGAATCTTCTGGATTCCCAAGAAAAGGATCTAGCAACCCTCAAAACCCTGCTATAAATTAAAATATTAAAAGAGAAGGAAAAAATCAAAGAGGGAGAATTAATCGGAGGAAAAGTTTGGACTCTCTACCGTGCTATAAATTAAAATATTAAAAGAGAAGGAAAAAATCAAAGAGGGAGGATTAATTGGAGGAAAAGTATGGGCAATTTGTGGTGTGCGAGCGCAGTAGTGGAGTGGTTTGTGGAAGAAAAAACAGATGGAAGAGGAAGAGGGCAACTTACACGTCAACAGAGGCAGCTGGCAGGAGGTTCGTTTCCCGCTTTACACTCCCGACACGACTCACTGACTCACGACTCATGACCCGCTCACATTTCAGAAAAATTTTAATATATCGGGAATAAAGTTTAGGATATCAAGTGCCATAAGAAAATTGGTTCAATCTATCTTTTTTTTTTTTTTTTTTTTTTTAAGTTTCAAACTAATGATATTATTACATTTAATTTATCATTACGTGTTCGGGACACAATGAAAATCCCTTCTCACGTACACACCCCCTCACTTCTTGAGGCGAGAATTTATACCCATTTCCTAACCAAAGTAAAGATAAATTATATTATGACTCACTTGTAGTGATTTTCAGACTCATATGTATAAGGAGTTTGTAACTCAGTTAGTTAAAAACACTCACTTATGAAATTGAGGTATTGAGCACGACTTCCTACTTGCCCAACATCATATGAAAAAAATGGAATTGTTTTGTAACATTTTACATTCATTTCTTTGAGGGAATTAACTTGGCTTCTCATTGGGAGGAGTTCCTCCTCAATTAATTTGTAGCCGATTCATGAAACTTCAAGTTTATGATCAAAACAATTAGAATTACAAATCACTTTTCATAGAAATGATATTTAAAAAGTAATGTTCATAGAAATGATCTTTAAATTTTCACAATGGTAGAAAATATATTAAACATTTACATGACCGTCTGAATTCAAGTCCACCAGTAACTAATCAAACAAAATATTTTGTTTGACAAAAAAAAAAATTCTGTAAGTTGGTCGCAAAGTAAATTAAAGTGAAACCGGTCAAAATAAAAGAGAAAATGTATCTAGACAAGTATAAAAAGGTATCTAGAAAACGTATCCAACTAAAATTAACTTCCACTAAAAATTTATGTAGGACTAATTTTATTTTTGGCAATATTTCCCCATACACATTCTACACTGATGACTCCATGCACTATATATACACTTTACCCTTACCATTTTTCTCCGCTTTCCTTCTCTCCCAAACCTGCAAGGGGTTTTAGCAGTAGCACTCTCTGCCAAAAGCTTCCTTACAGCTCCCCTTTGCAGGTCCTCCCTCTTCTCTTTTGCTATTTCTTCTTCCTTCCACTCCATAAAGCTTCTCACTTTTACCCTCCCCCTCCCACTCTCCCCCCTCTATCTCTCTCTAAATCTCAACCTTCTACACATTCAAATCCTCACTCACTTCAGCTCAGTGGTACTAATTTTTCTACACGCTCTCGCCGTCGATTCTTGATGTTGCTTCAGACCAAACCCAAATCGCCGATTTCAGTTCTTCTGCCTCAAAATCCATGACAACCTTCCAACCCATCTCGTCCGTACACTCAACGGTCAAATTTTCAGAGCAAATAACCACCGTGACAAAACCCATGATCCAGGAACCCGATAACCCGACTCGTATCCCGCCAAAGCTCGTCCGGATCATACTTACGGATGCCGACGCCACCGACTCCTCCAGCGACGACGAAGACAGAAGCGTGCGCAGAGTCAAACGACATGTTAGACAGATCAGCCTAGAGCACTCCTCGCCTTCCTCTTCCTCTCCTTCATCTTCGTCGTTGGTTTCTTCGGGTCAGTCAAAGCGGGCGAGGAAAGACTCGCGACCCGGATCGAAGTCACCGGAAACGGCCGCGGATCTCCTGAAAAAGTTTAGAGGTGTCCGGCGGAGGCCTTGGGGTCGCTGGGCCGCGGAGATCCGAGACCCGACCCGAAGAAAACGGATCTGGCTCGGGACCTTCGACACGGCGGAGGAAGCCGCCACTGTTTACGACAGAGCTGCCATCTTGCTCAAGGGTCCTGACGCCGTCACCAACTTTTCTAACGCCGTTATAAAGGAGGAAACAGTCGTTGGCGATTTGACGGCCCCAGCTGCGGAGCAGGGATGTGGGTGTGTAACTCCCTCGTCCAGCGAGGCTCTCTCGTCGCCTACTTCAGTTCTTCGTTACGGTGACCAAACGCCGTTTGATGGTTTAAGTTACGGATACGCCGACGCCTTCGAATTTGATTTCGGCTTGCCGTTGAGCTTGCCGGATATCATGTTGTCAAGTAACAGCTTTGCACGCGACGAGTTCGGCGAGTTTGATGTAGACGATTTCTTGGCTGACGTCGTATGTTGAATCCAACAGTATTATACACGTGTTGACTCCAGTTGAGGCACGTGGATGTTAGAGGAGTATTTTGTAATTTCACTTGCTACTGTGTTGCAAGTTGCAAGTGAAGTGTTAAACTTTGCGAATTTGCGAGTTGCAAGTTGCAATTGAAGTGAGTTTTGTTACGTGGCACAAGCAGTACTTGGAATACCGATAATACCCTAGGGAGTGTGAGATACGAGGAGTATGAGTAAAGCCGATTCTAATATATACGGCGATTTTGTGAGAACCCTTTTGTACTTTTCTTTTAATTTTAAATTATTGGTGTTTAATTGTAATTAAACACGGATTATTATAAATTTTTATTTGTATTGTCAATGAGAATAAAAGTCTTTTTCTTATGTCTAAAGTATTTTACATACTGAAAAAATAGAATTGACTCTTAATTAAACTCGAAAAGCGAAAAGTATATCAACCTGCTACCGCCTGTAGTCATAGTTGTTCATATGCAAATGGTAAGATATGTATAGTAAAAGCTAATAACTTAAAAAGTAAAATATCCCACCATTTATATAAAAACACGTAATGTACCATTCATATTCCGATTACAATGAAAAATTTTCTCTAAGTTTGGAGTGGGGAAAGAATAAAATTAAAAATCATAAATGAAATATTGCTTTTGATTTCTTGGACATCACGCCTGTCGTTGAAAATAAAAAAGCATAAGAATTATTATTCTTGTAATTATTTTATTTAAGATTTTGATTAATTCGAATATTCATATCCCACAAAATAAAATATTCATATAGAGATGGACCAATTAGTCTTTGTCTTAGTGAAGTTTTTCCATATTTAGTTTAATTGACTCACGCAAATGATAACAATGAGACACATCATTATATTTAAATATTCAGTTGTGACTAATCTCGTTGTGCAGTATCATAACTTTATTGTCGTCTTTTTTTTTAAATGATAAATCTTGTTAAATTAGATGTTAAATTAACTATCGTCGTTGTTAATGTAAGAGAGACAGTCAGCGGTTCATCGCAAACCAAACCAACAGACGTCATTAGGAGTAATACTACCCAATATAAGTAACATTTTAATTTTATTTTTCAACTGTACCAATGTAAGCGAAATGTAATGTCTTACTAAATGTTCTATCATTGTCGGGAAATTATATTTATAGAGAATATAATATTTTTTGGTGTCAAGATTGCTTGTTTTTTGTGACTTATTTTCTTATGCGCTATGAAATGGACTGAATTTTCTTCTAATTCTTTTTTAGGTTTTGGCAGTTGGCTGTCACTATTGTTTGGAAGTCTCAACAGTTAAGACACGTGTTTGAATATATTTCTGGTCAATTACTTTCGGAATTGAGACATTGCAAATATTAGTCTTGAGTTTGGCTTTTGTTGGATATTCATCATGGGCTCCATCAAATTACATAAATACCAAATGTAATGCATCATAACGAAATATAATGTCAAATGCACATGAATATGGATTAGATATATGTGAAAATCGAACCAGACGAATATTAGACATTATATCTTGAGACAAGTTTCCAGTTACAGTGTTCATGATTGAACGATGTTTGCCTCTCATAGTACAACGATCGCGTCTTTCTAATAATAGCATTCCAAATCACAGTGAACCACGATTTTGTTGAACTCTCTTAGACTCACTTAATCTAACATGAACATGTATGAATCAACAAATAAAGTGACTAATGACTTAATGTAATGACCAAGGATGACAATTATACCCGATAACCGCGGATAACCGCCCGAATACATTGGATTTAGATATGAAAATTCGGATATATTTTGGGTATGGGGAAAAACCATGAATATTATTTGGTTATGGTTATAGGGGTTCCCAATCCATATCCGTATCCGTTCCCAAATCCAAACCGAATAATATATAATATAATTATTCATAATATTAAAGTATTGAAAAATATACACACACACACATATGTATATTCATTATTCACCAAATCCCTTACTTTGAGTGTAAATACAAAAAATGCATTATGTGAGTTGTATTTTGTGGGAAAGTTCATAAGTTTTGATATGAATCAAAATCTATGAGAATTGAATGGTACATATGGAAGATATCAAAGATCAGCTAACATTATCAATGTTTAAATTTAATTTTTATGCTCCACAAGATTCATTCATTAAATCATTTTATACATCAAATTTTCAATGAAGAAATTAATATTTACTAAATTATCATGCGTTAATTAAACGAATATATTTTTTGTATTGACAACCGTTAACCGATAGAAAATCCGTTATCTGGTAGGTATGGTTACGGATAATACCTGATAGTTAGTTTCCAGTTATGTATATAATTAATTTTTGTGGTTATGGGGATAGATATAACATTTCTGTCCCCAAACCGAACTATTGTTATCCCTAATGATGACACCTTTACATAGATGTAGAAACGACTCTTCATATTAGTTATGTCCTATCTTAAGAAGTCAATAGTTGCATATCTTCAATTGAAAGGCAAAGAAACAAGAGACGCAAGGATAGATCCAATAGCCACCAACAGACCATTCAATAATTTGGACTTTAGCTCTTGTATTATCTATTCATTCACCGCTGCACCATCACCATCACCATCACCGAAAGAAAAAAAACCGAGTGATGGGAAACGGAGACGAGAGGCTGGACGGCGGCATCCAAGGTAATTAGGCTTGGCGGAGCATCCTCATGACTGTTAGTCATCTTGTTTTATTTATTTATTTATGTTTTTAAATTTTAACAAATAAAATATTATCTATAACAAGATCATGGGGGAATGGGCTAAACCTCACAATAAGCTAGCAATAATGTATTTCAAATTCGCCTTTGGCGAGAATCGAACTAAGAATTCTCACTTATAAGTGAAGAAAAATATCACTAGACTGTAAAAATCATTTAAAACAAAATTTAATCATGATCAAGCTATGGGACACATGACAAACTACTAAGAAGGAAGTGAGAATCCACCAAAGTTAGCGGTGGTGAGCAATAATGCGCACTAAAAAATAAGAAGAAAGTAGGTTAGGGTGTGGGCCGTAGGGTCCACATTGAATCGGTGGTTACTCATTAAGGCTAAATTAACGATGAGGATCCTTTTTAGATTCAGTTTGTAAGGATCATCACATCTTAGCCGTTGATCATATATTATACAGCCAGTTTTCATTAGGTATTATTTGTGTTTAATTTTAAATCAATAAATTCAATATGATTTCTGACCGTATGACGTATAATAAATGACTAGATATGAGAATTCCTAAAATCTTCATAATTTGAATCCGGATTGAATCTAAATCCCTAAATTATAGCCTATTGGAATAGCCTTGGGGTTACACCGATGCATGATGGGATCTCAAATGGACTTGGTACAATTGCATATATGAATAAAGTTGGTTACCGGCGGCTACAAAGATGGAATTGGAACTCCCCAATTTCAAAGCGGGGAATGGGAATGGACGATGAGATTTAGGGGCTGTCGGGGAGCAGCAAATAAAGATGGAGTTTTGTATGCTTTAAAAGTGATGCAGGATGACTCAATCTTTATTTAATGTAATAAATATATGTTAGTGGGGTAGATTAAGGGGGTTAATATTAATGAGTTCATTAACTCTAGTAATGATGCATGTATCAGTAATTATTAAGAGGGGTTAGAGTTTTTATAAATTAAGAGTATTTTGTGTTCTAGGGCGAAGAAGATGATGAATTGAATTGAAAATTGCGTGCAGTTTGAGATGGTTTTCTCATTTTTGTTCTTGTTCTATCAACTTGGATATTCCAATGGAATTAACGAGGTATAGACACCCCAACGGTCATTGGCCATTCTCGTGTAGAGAATCAACAACGCTTGTGTGATAAACTTCTTGGCATTCTTGGTGAATCAACAAGAGGTTTAGAACTTACAAAATTCGGTATTGTCTTTGACAATCAACGAATCTACATGGAAGAGTCATGCATTTCATGTGTTTTGTTTTAACATCCATTCTCCATTCAAGGATCGGTATCTAGATTTATTAATTAACTGATTTGTGTTTTGATCACTGCATCAAAAAGGCAAGGTGATAAATGCAAACGAGACTCACAAAATTACAATTTTTTATGAAATTTTTGTCATTTCACAAGTCAATTTTTATGTTAATATTATAAATATTATGTAAAAAATTTGAAATGAGAGTTTCACTTTAAAAAGCGTCGTTGGGAATTTCTTAAGGCACAAAAGCAGAGAATGAGTCTCATGAACAGGGAATGGGTGGGTCCCATTAGTTGGTGACCAAACAGGTACGAAAGTAACGTAACCTCAAATCTATCCCATCCATAGCCAGTAAACCATAGCCGCCTCCCACTAATAACAATTAATTAATTTTTTTAATTCAATCTTAATCCCAAATTATATGAGATGTAGGTGCCTTATTATACCAATGGATTTGGTCTTAATTGTTTGTTTTTTTGTTTGATGTGCAGTAAGTCCACTCCACGTGCGATTAAAAAAATTGTGACATAAATATCTACTGGTTCTAGAAATTAATTTATGCATATCATTGTCACAATTCATTACTATTTGCTTCCTAATTACTCTTATCTCTTTCTTTAATGAATATCTATGTATCCAAACGCCAGCACAGTATACACACCATAACCATGGATCATACATTCCGATTTTTCGATGGTACAAATTTGTAACTAGGTGTAGCCGGTGGTAGATTCAAGATTCGAACATTAGAAAGTTTAGTGTTAATGATTCAAGTTTTTTGTAAAAGCATCCATAAGCAAGCCTAGACCGAGGGTTTGTTAGTGAAATGCTTTCTAACGGTCAAGTTAGTAACTAGTACTAAGACTAAAAAAGTAGGCAAGAGAATAAGTATGCAGAGATTGCATTACCAGAAATGATCCCTAAGACTGTATTAATTTACACCAGTCGAGGAGATGACCTTTTAGGTTAGTAAAACCCGTATCAAACCGGAAGAATCCTAAAAGATATCTAAGAATATGACACACTTGGAGCGCATGCCAACCCTTAGATTGTAAGGACTCCAAAATTGTAGGAAACCTGCTAATTTCTTGTTGGACTAGTTTCCCGAATCTTGTGGAACGAGAATGGTCTATCTCAGCGAAGTCGATGGACTTCGCCCATTAATTTTGGAACAGGATGATGGTGGCATGTTGATCCGTTTAATTAGCTCCGCAGTGAAGGTTATTGAGTCCATGATCGGACTTCTAAAGTCTACGTATTACGATCCTTCTTGCTCCGCCCTGGAAAATGATGATCTCACAATTGCCCCTAACTAGGCATAAAATATGACTTGTTCCCCTTAAGGATGGATAGTCCCGTAAACCACGCTTTTTAGAGTAAGTCATAACACGTACCG